TTTGTCTGCATGGATCAGGAAAAAGAAGATGCTTTCCCTTGTCCTCTTTGCCACCACCCATCATAACTTCACATGACCCAGTTGCAATCATTCTGGGTTAAAAAAGTGAGTGGGATCCCTGATGCCTTCATACTCTTGCTTTGTGAGAATAATGTCTTGCTTTATACGGGTAATGACTGTAGATATTCCCTCACACTTGAGAATTGAACATCATTTGGGTGATGTTTGGCATAGAAAAGCCTGTCAATATGCATGTGTTACAGCATTTTCTTCTTTTAGCATCAGGTACGGACACCAAAGTAAAAAGTACAGAACCAGGCTTAAAATAGTGGCTTAGATTTGGTGATCATTATTTAGTTGCTCACAACAGATGATTATTAACTGACCATCAAAAATGTTTTCCCAGAGCTCAAGTACTTCAATTTTGGCACAGAAGGTCATAGATTAGGTCCTCACCTAGCTGTTATGTATATCTGAAGCCACAATAGCAAGGAACATACATTAATTTTGGTAAAACACATGAGATTCATCATACTGGAGAGAAAAGTTTTACTACTAGATTTGATGTATGGGTTGAAACTTTGTGCTTTCTAAAGTCCCAACCACATGCACGATGTTTTAAAGGGCTTTATTTCAATCCTGACAAATGAGCACCAGATGTTTCTTTTATTGCACTTGCATTTTATACAGTCATTCAACATTTCAGGCTCATGTTAAGGTCTCAGAAACTCTCTCTGACCCACCTCTCGCCTCATAAAAAAGAGAAGCTGCAGAAGAGAACAAAATCAAGAATAAAATACAATAATTCTGACTAAATATAGCAAATAAATTAAGGAAGAATTGAAGTGTTTCCACAAGCAAAAAGAGAAGATAGGGCAAGAGTTATGGCTGGGTTCAGTTATCATCAACAGCCCTACCATTAGAAGACCTCTCATGAAGAACAATGCTATTTTTCCTTTATTTTATTATTTCTTTAAAAACAATTGTGCTTGGAAATGCTCCCTTTGACCTATAAATGCCATAAGCAGGAGATTAAAAGGCCTATAATTACATCTAACCATTCTGGCTTCTCTGCAGGTGACAGTGGGGATGAAGTTGCTTCCGTGGAGAAGGGAGTCGAGCTTTCAGGATTTATTTGTTTAATTAACTGTTTTCTTTTCTTCTTTTCTTCCTAGAAGCATCTGTTTATTCACTCCAATCTCACTGCCTACCTCATCCATTCTGAAAGAAAAGTGCTGTCCAGGCCAAGCTTTCCTCTAACCAGTACCCCACAAGGACACATTGAGGTGGAACCGCACAGTGTCAGTTAGAGAAAGATTGGTTCCTGCAAGTGCTAAGTATTATTTTCATTCCCATCCCAGTCTCTGGCATTTTTGATTTGCTTTTCCATTTTTGCCTGACCCAAGAACTTTTCACTGCATGTTGACTGAATACATTGAAAGGCTTGCTTTCTTGCTAGAGAAGCAACTTAATATTTAAGTGTAAGGTTTAAGCGTGTAGGTACACACTGAGTTTGAGCACATACCAAGAGGTTGAGAAAAGGGTTCCATTCCTCGATCTACCACTGACTAAATTCGTCACCTTGCTTCAGATTTCACCCATCTGTGAAACAGGGTAATGATCCCTCCGTAACTCACAGGGCAAGAATGTCATTAATATTTGGAGTTGGTTTCAGATTCTCTAAGAAGAGCTTTTCCATTATATCATTTGCCTGTTTTGGCCAGCACTTGGACTAAAGATGTGAGTGTAGTTTCAACTCTATATCCTACAAAATCTGATGGCTCGGTGTGGTGCCACCACCTGCAACATGCAGTGCCTTTATAATAGATGTGGTGGAAAATAAGACAAGAGACTGGTCTAAAGCAAAGCCTTGATTTGAACTTCTGTGAACTTCAGGAAAATTTATATTTGACTCCACATCCCAGTTTAGCTGCTTGGGACCATCAAAGACAAACCTATCAGTGAAAAAATATATGAAGTTGCAAGAAAAGTGAAGAAAGGGACATGCAGCTGACAAAGAGATAAGCGAGCAGAAAAAAAGGAAGTAAAGCTGAAAGTTTATAAAATCTGCATGCAAGCAACTGGGCTCATTTCAGAAGTGGAACTGTAGACTGGTTTAAGATCTGATTTTCTGTGGCTCTTTCTTTTGCCTCAACTACCCTGATGCTAAGGCACTACAATGCTGATGGGTGCATTATATATGCTTATATACTGTATTTCAAGAAAAAGGTATGTGTACTGTGTGTAACTGTCTTCCTGGAACTTGATGGAGGGGATAGATATCTGAAATGAATAAGCAAACAGTGCAAATGCCATTCCAATTCACTCCCAGGAACACAGTCCCTTAGTGGTTTCCTGGGGGCACATCAGGCAACACGAGCAGAGAATTCTTTGCTGCTGCTGTGAGTCCCCAGACACAGAAGGATGCAGAATGATTAATGTTTCATTGTGAATGCCAGCCCGTTGCTACCAGAAAGAGATGGAGATTATCTTGATGCTGCTGCCCCACAATGGGCAGATGGTATAAATCTGCACGCTGACTCCAAGCGCTGCGAGAGGTCGCCCTTTGTTTTGGCAGCACCTGCGGATTTCTGTGACTGATCCTACACTGAACACTAAGATGGAAAATCAAACCCCAAATTGATGGATCAGCCCTGAAAGGGCCCTATAATTGAATCCAGCCCTCTGCAGGTACAGTTATGTTATACAGTCACTTTCCTAAACCGACAAGGTCATTCCATCTTGGAAACCACAAGAACACATATCCATGTGTTACCCACTTCAGCACACACCACACACAACTTCTTCAAATACCATTATCATTTTCCTCAAACCCACAAGTAAATGAATTATTTAGTGTGGAGCGGGGAGAGGAGTTGACATGTCTGACAACATTTGAATGCTGTAGTGTTCATGTACCTGCAGAGCTGAAGCTCCCAGTTAATTATCTAGCCTTGCTGTTTTATGGGGGTTCATGTGTCTTCAAGATCTTACTAAATCAAGGCTTACTTGGCATTTGTCTTCCGTGTAAAGCTGGGCAGGTGTTCAGCTGTGAATGCTGATCTGAATTGTGACTGCAATAGCTGGCACAATGGCACTCTGCCTGTTATTTTTGAAACTAAGTGTTTTGCTCTCAGTGTGTCCTCCGGAACCAAGCTTTGGGCTGGAAAGTGCCTTTTGTGATGTTCGTATGGCACCTCAAAGTCTTGACCTAATTCTCTCCCATGTGTTAGCACAGTTTCAGGGTGATCATAATGCTTTTAAATACAGCAGGCTTTTCCCTCGTAACATTGTTTAAAAAACTGGCATTTAAACACATACACACTCATGTAGTATTATTCTGATCACGGTTGAAATATCCATACAAATAGAAAGCATGCTAGTGCTCCAGAACAAGGACAAACATACAGAAACATGCTCTCAGTCACCATTCCAAGGAGGCAGTTTATCTATAAATCAAACATGTGGCACACTTTTCTGCAGATTATCCTCTTGATGCACCAAAGCAGCATCTAATCAGCTTTTACTCTAACAAATAAAGATCTGTGGCATAAGTGATGTAGGAAATAACCCACAATCTCATTCTGTGCTTGCAGGAAAACAATAACAATCTTTTTCCATGAAGGTCTAAGGTGTTCCATCTACAAAGTAAATACTAGTGTGTAGGAGAACTTTGCATGATGTGAAAATTCGGAAGGGATTAGAAAAACTTTGTCAAAGATTGTATTACAGTACTGCTGTGCTCTATACAGAACTGCAAAACCAAACCCTGATCATTTGAACCTAAGGTGAAGGTACAAATTTAAATGGAAGAATTCTTAGGAGAATCCTGGTAAGAAATAGATATAGAATAATTTCTCTCACTTTTGGAAAACACTTACCATTGCATCATTACTAATAAGAAAACAAGCATTTCTGAAATTCAATGTATTAAAGCAGTATGCCTTAAAATCCTCTCAAAGTTCAATCTAAATAATCAAAGAACTAAGGATTCTGTAATTATATGTAAGAGTTTTACCCAGATTTTCATTCTTGACTGCAGAACTGTGTTAAGACACATTCAGAACTCCTGTTTTGGTTGCTACTTTGCTTACTCAGACAAGCTCTAATAATCTCAAAGAGCTTTGTGTACACATAAAGACTGATTAAAAGCTGTGAAAGGTCACTGATCCTTTGTCTTTAATTTTAAACCTCCGGGAATCTGATTTATTCTCCTGAACTTTAATTCTGACATTTTTTCCACTTCTAACTTAAGCAGAGGCAGCAACTAGAAAAAAACTCAGCTTCTGAAAAAGTCATACCTTTCTATTTTTCTGAAACATGATTAGTAGGGAAACTTCCTCTCACTCCAATGAAATTAAAGAAGCCTTCTGCGCTGTGGTTAGAGAAACGGGCAATACTGCTCGACCTTTACTGCAACTCCAGTATCCTGGGAGCTGGCGGTTTGTAAAATGACCCAACAGCCCAGGGTAAGAAGTGAATTTTGTGCTCAGTCTCCCTTTGGCGGGTTGCCATTCCTCCTCCATGTCTTTTGACAAAAGGTGGCCAGCTCCCACTTTCAGTCAGGACCTTCCAGCGCTGCCGAGGCTCTAAGGCACTCCTCAGTCCCTCATGTTTTCCACAGTTTACATCATTCCTGCCATGGCAACACCCAAGGGTGTTACTATTACTTATATCACAGACAAAGGAGGCTTCTGGACGGTGGAAACTGCTGCTGCCAGAGGGGCAAGCAGCTTAAGGTTGGAGGGGATCAACTCCGGGGCCTTAGGCCCTGGGCACTCCTGAGGCACACCTGAGGCTCTGAGGCCGCTGCCGGTGGAGGCCGCTCGGGCCCGTGGTAGCCGTTAGGGCCGGCGGAGGCCGTTAGGGCCGTTAGAGCTCCCTTGGCCGCGCGGCGGCGGGAGAGAGCGCGAGGCCGGCGTCCTCCCGCCCGCCGTGACGGAGAGAAGGGCCTCCGGGGGAGGCGCTCGTGCCGCGCTCTCGCTGGTATGTGACGTCATTACAGTGCGACGACGGCGGCGGCGGGCAGGAAGCTCGGTGGCCGGTAGGGCTCGGCTGGTGCGCGGTACCGTGAGGGAGGGCGAAGGCGGCGGCGGGCTGAGGGGAGGCGGCGGGGGTGCTGGGCCCTTGCGTGGCGGGCGCTCCTCGGCCTGTGAGGGGAGGGGGGCAAAGAGGCGGGGTTTCCCCTCAGGCCCTGCCAGAGCGGTGTTTCTGAGCCAAAGTCTTATTTCCGGACCTAATGGGTTTTTATCCTTCCAGAGCATTCCTGTTGCGGCTGCTTCTGTAAAGACATGACCACACAGGTATGTAAAAACACAGCGTTAATTGAACTAATTGCTAGCTTGATATCTTTTTTTTTTTTTTTTTTTTAGGCTGCTCATTCGTAATATTAATTATTTTTTCTTTCCAGTACGGTATTCTCTTCAAGCAAGAGCAAGGTGAGAAAACACTAACAAACATGTATTAAGTAATACCGGCTTCCTTGGATGATGTAAAATTGATAATGGCATGTACACTTGTGAGATGACTTGTACTGTGTTTACACGAGGTATAAATCTGAATAATTCAAAAATAGCTATGCGGTTTTTTCAGCCGTGACCTTGGTGAACAAAATGCATCCTGTGTTTTTAAACAATGAGAACAGTGACAAGGGTCTCAGAGCACTGAGAGATGTGAAGAGCAAAGGGTCTATTGCCACCATTACAATCAGCAATTTTAGCGTTACCAAAACTGGTAGATGTCTTCCATCAAAAGAAATACTTAATTTTTAATTTCTATGCATATATTCTCTTTTAGCTCACGATGATGCCATTTGGTCAGTTGCCTGGGGAAAAAATAAAAAAGATGGTTCTGAAACAGTGATCTCTGGTTCTTTGGATGATCTAGTGAAGGTGTGGAAGTGGTAAGTGAAGTGCTCCACATTAACCAGTTTTAAGCCTTGGAAGTAGTCAGTGTGGAAGTAGAGCAGTCTTGAATTTCCATGATCTGCAGGGATTTTAGTAGCAGCATCAGGGAAGGGGTAGCCTGGCACACAGAATGTTCTCTCAAGCAAGCTTATCTTCATTGGTGTGTGCTTTCTCTTGGAGTGGTAGCTTTCTGATGTGCTTTAGTTGTGGAAGAATGTGAACTGTTTTGAAAATACACACCAAATTTCACATGTTGACTGCCAGAGAATAATATATGTAGGGGCATAATGCAGACAATGCAGACTGGAGAATTAGAAATGTAACTTTTTATGAGACAATGCACTCGGAGCATGTGTATTGTGAAAGGAATAACGGTAGTAGAGTGAAACGGGAAATGGCATCTTCCTTTTTTATTTAGAAAAGAAAAAATCCTCATGATCCTCATACAAGTGACAGTGAAGTGTGCTTTTTCAAATAAATTGTTTTATCTTTTAGCCAAAGCAGTATTAAGTATGTGCTTCACTCTAATGACATGAGTAGCTCTGTGTCGTGGTTTTGACTGAATTGACCAACCAGAACGACAGATGGCCCATCCCTCCCCCCCCCTAAGGAAAAGAGAGGAGAGGAAGAGGGGGATAAAAAAAATTATGAGTTTAGAAAAAGACTAAACTACTTTAATAAAAATATAAATAAATAATGAAATAGGAAAAAAAAAAAAAGGAAAGAAAAAAAGTAAAATAAAATACAAATGTATACAGTATATACAAAACCGTATCAAGCTCCCAGGATGTCGATCACGTCACCAGCCGGCGCAGGGGAAAGTCCCAGGCTGGACTCAGTGATGGACAGGAGCTGGATTCCGGATCTGGAGTCAGGAACGCTCGGATCGGGACAGACAGGGTCCTCCTCGGATGTCGGCCATTGAAGGAAGAGAGTTGACCCTTTGATCCCTCAGCTTTTATACTGAGCATGATGCGGATGGGATGGAATACCCTGTTGGTCAGTTTTGGGTCACCTCTCCTGTCCGTTCCTCCCCACAGGTGTGACCCCTCTATGCTTTTCTGCTTCCGACCCTCCAACGGGGCAAATAACAAACTTGCCTGACCTTGGTTGTTATAGCAATAAGTATAAGCAGGGGCCTCTCTGCATACCATCCCTTGGTATAATCAGGTCTTATCACTGTGAGAGTGAACAGTTCCTGAACAATATGCTGTTAATTTCAGAGTTTAGTTAGTCAGAAGAGGCTTAGCTAAAAAAGTAAAATTACTGAGCAGAAAATTAGTTCTGTTTTACCTCAAACCAGGACACTCTGTTGTGGTAATTAAAAAAGTGTTGGTCATTGCGTTTCATGGTTTGCTGACAGATTAACAGTCTGCTGTGTGAGTACCTGTGTACTGATGTGCAATCAAAATTTCAGTGGCACTACTTACAAACTCAAGATGAAGTACATTTTTTGCAGAAATAATGATAAATGATGGATTTACCGGTACAGAAAGCAATTTGTGCATTTAGCTATCTTCATGTTTCATGGGTGAAATTCGATTCCCCTTTTGCTGAACAAAATAGAGAAATGTGGGTTGTCTTTTTTGTTTTGCCTGAGGCTGGAGATCGCTTATGTACCGCCGGCTATTAATACCTGGGCTTTTCTTTCCCTTGAACAAAAGGAATGATGAAAAATTGGATCTACAATGGACGTTGGAGGGTCACCAGCTGGGCGTGGTGTCTGTGGATATCAGCCACACGGGCTCCATCGCAGCATCCAGCTCCCTCGATGCCCACATTCGCCTCTGGGATTTAGAAACTGGCAAACAGATCAAGTCAATAGATGCTGGCCCTGGTAAGATACCAGTGTTAACCTGTCTCTGCGCAAGAAGTGTACTTACTCTAGATAGTAATACTGCACAGTGTATAATTAGGGTACACGAGATGACTAGTTTGTTGCATTTTGGTTTTGTTGGATTTTTTTAAATCTTTCATTGCAAAAATCTAAGTGATTTTTGTGGACTCAACGTAAAGTATATCAGACAATTTTAAATTTATTTTTTCACATTACTTGTGCTTTCTTGGATACGTTTGTTTGGTAAAAGGATAGTTTAAAAGATAATTCAACTGCTTATTCAAAGTGGCTTACAAAGAAGATCTGAGCTTTCTTTGTAAGTACTGCACTGAATTTGAGACATATATGTGATGGTTGTTCATGCAGTACATCCAAGCCTGAGGGAACAAGTCAAAACACAGTAAAGCTGGTCAGGATCAATGTTGTGTCTTCCGAGTTGGCATTCAGGGCCTAAGATCTTATTTCAAATATTTCATTGGTCCACTGGCAATTCCTTGGTTAAAAACATTCTTGCAGTGTTTTAGGTAATTACTATTAAGTTTATAGAAAAAAAACCCTGTTAATTATATCATGCCAGATAAATACATTTTACTGCTATAAAAAGATACGCTTTTTTTATATTCTGTTGAAGGAACGTTGCTCTGTGTTACATTTGTATAGCTGTGTTTCTCCTGCATCTTCTGTGCTTTGCTAGCTACTCATGTTGCTTTCTTTTACTGGTTTGGGAAAAAAAGCCAGATAAATACATTTTACTGCTATAAAAAGATACGCTTTTTTTATATTCTGTTGAAGGAACGTTGCTCTGTGTTACATTTGTATAGCTGTGTTTCTCCTGCATCTTCTGTGCTTTGCTAGCTACTCATGTTGCTTTCTTTTACTGGTTTAGTATCTTTTGGTACCAGTAGAAAAGTAAGAATTTAGACTTAACCCATGCAGTCGTAAATTCTAAATTTATTGTTACAGGAGGGTCTGATAAGCGCAAGATTTTACTAGAAAATGTAATCTTTCACTAAATGGGTATCTTTTGGTACCAGTAGAAAAGTAAGAATTTAGACTTAACCCATGCAGTTGTAAATTCTAAATTTATTGTTACAGGAGGATCTGATAAGCTCAAGATCTTACTAGAAAATGTAATCTTTCACTAAATGGAAATAACTAGCTCAGGCTATGCTCTGCTGATTATGTAGAAGGAAGTTAACTTTCATGAGTTTGTGAACTCTTCTTAAAAGTAGAGTTTAGAGTATTAAGAGCAATTAGGGGGTTAAATGTCTAAACGAATGCATACAGAACTGACACTGTTGAATAAGTACTAGAAACAGTATTCAGCTAAATGATTTTTTTTTTCCTTTTCAACACAGTTGATGCTTGGTCCCTGGCTTTTTCACCTGATTCCCAGTACCTTGCAACAGGAAGTCATGTCGGAAAAGTAAATATTTTTGGTGTTGAAACCGGAAAGAAAGAATATTCTCTGGACACCAGAGGAAAGTTCATCCTTAGCATTGCATATGTAAGGACAATTAATAATTTCTTATGTGAAATTGCTATTGCTGTAATATGTTGTAAATCTGATGTTTTGTTTCCATACATCAGTTTAGCTCTACATAATACTTAAATGACGATCATACTTTGACAGTTCCAAATATAAACTGTGTGACATTCTCACCCTTCATACGTGGAAAATTTACTTTGATCTTGCTTATTTGCATGTTGTGAATAAGTCAGATGAAGTGTTTGGGATTTTGGGAGCACAGGTATCTTGCATAGATTGTATTTGTGATAAGTTAGCATAAATGCATGCAGTTGTTAAATGCATGCTTCTTGTGTTTTATTACAGAGTCCAGATGGAAAATACTTAGCCAGTGGAGCAATAGATGGCATTATCAATATTTTTGATATTGCAACTGGAAAACTTCTGCATACGCTAGAAGGTAATCATTTGTGTGTTTGCAATACCCAAGTTTTGGCTTCCTTCCTCAACAAAATTAAAGGATATAACGCAAATCAGAATAAGATACCACAGCCATGGCATAAGTGAGTTGATGTTTCTGTCCATTAGACAGTATTTCGTTAGTGTACTGTAACTTAAACCACTTAAAATATTGGAGGCAAACTGTCAACTGAGGCTTGCATCATAAATGCCTATTCTCAAAGGACATAGTCAGTAATGCTTAACTGAACCTTGACTTGCAGTTCCTCCTTGTATTGCAGTGCAGTACAAGGGAATGAAGTTAAACCAAATGTGTGCTGCCACACAGTATATGACTCTTCTTTTTGCTGTGGTATTAGTTTTATAGCAGTTTATACATGTTTTAAATAGTAACTAGACATTTTATAAGACATGCATTTTTCTACGAGATAAATGGGCTTCTAATGTCCATACAGTTTCTGTCCAGTTGTATAGTTAATTAAAAACCCAACTACAAAATGAAATGGTATTAGAAAATATGACATACTTTCTAAGAAATATCCACAGCTGAAAAAGTAAGATAATTTTGTGATGCAGTGGACATGCCTTAACATTCAAAGTTCAGAATTACTCTCAGTTTCCATTTTATGTTGTGTGAAGAAGCTTGTAGAGGCATAAAGAGAAACCCTCTTCTGAGGTTACTTTCTTTTAACAGGGAACGCAGGAACGCTCCTCTGGTGTAGCTTCTTAAGCACTGTCATTAGGAAGAGGAATAGCTTCATTCTAAGCCTTATATAACTTTGAATTTCAGGTCACGCGATGCCTATTCGTTCACTGACATTTTCTCCGGATTCCCAGTTACTTGTAACTGCTTCAGATGACGGCTATATCAAAATTTATGATGTGTAAGTTGTTATTTTGTAAGACATGCTAACAGGAGAAGGGAGGCTGATCACTTAATGTATCAAACCCTTTGCTGTCTATAATTTCCTCCAGCTTTTCGTGACTCCTTTATGTAATAAATAATATTAAATGCTAAAATACGACACTGTTAAATAATTTTTAAAAAGTGCATAGGTGGATGACAGCCTTAACTTGAAAACAAATTGCTTTCCTCATATTTGGCCTTGGAGACAACAGGCAAATTGTTTTCTAGATCTGTCCTCTGTGTTTGTGCTTAGCCATCTGAAACCAAAGAAATTACATTTATGACCTATTTCTGTTGCATTGTGCAAAAACCTGAAAGACCTTGCGGAAGAAAAAGCACAGCTTCAGTGATCTTTACTTCCCCTAAAGCTGCATTACTTTGCTTTCTTCATGGTGAAGCTGTTCTGTCCACCAATATATTTTCTCAGTGATTTCTTTGTACATTAACCATTTGAAATGGAAAAACAGAATCTGTTGTAACACCAGTTCAGCCTGAATGAACAAATGTCTAGTGGTCACCTACCATGACCTTGCATTCCTGACTGCACTACCTAGAGTATATTCCTGTTCACAAACCAAATGTTAAAATTCTGTGTTGTCTAAAATTTGTTCTTTCCACAGGCAACACGCAAACTTGGCTGGTACATTAAGTGGGCATGGATCCTGGGTATTAAATGTAGCATTTTGTCCCGATGATACACATTTTGTTTCCAGGTATTGAGGGTTTTTAACTTGTTTATGCTTATTGGAAAAAATCATATACTTTTATATTTACAAAGGGAATAATGGAATAACGTACGTTGAAATTAAAGACTCAAGAGCCAGTCTGTGATGTGCTGCCAGTTGCAGTGAAAAGTATTTTAAGTCATCCCACTGCAGTGTAGTTCTCTACACAATGAAGAACATGTAAAAGAATAGCTGAAAAATTGCTGTTGAATTAACAAGTACAACATAATGTAGTAGTACATTAATGTAGTTGAACTTTAGTGTTGACTCAAAACAGCTCAGGCAATTGGGGACCCAGTACATGTAACAGGAGTTTCTTTATCCAAAGTACTTAAAGAAATTTTTGGCTACAACAGGAGTCCTCATTTTCACGTTGCAGATACTGAAACAGTAAACATATTTTAAAGGTAGCTGGAACCTGGTGGAAGATACACTCCTGTGTTAGTTTATCCCTCTGTTGGTGGGTGACAGCCGATTTCTTATGTCCACTGTATAAGGTCTTTTAAGATTTGCACTAAACTGCAGTTGATCTATTCATTTAAACATTGATCGATACTATTTTTCTTTCAGTTCATCTGATAAAAGTGTGAAAGTTTGGGATGCTGGGACGAGAACCTGTGTTCACACTTTCATTGACCACCAAGATCAGGTACGTCTGTTACTGCTTTGCCTGGGTCAGTCTCTTCACAGGAGGACTGTAGTTGTACACGTTCGTGTTTCACGTTGGTGCTGTAGCTTCAGGGTTGGACTTGGGGTAATGAAATCTTAGAAGTTGTTTGTAATTATTTGGCACTTAATACAGAACTAATATTCCAAGCGTGTAGGTTGATCTCTTCCAAGGAATTCATTTTTTCAGGCCCAACTAAGGGCAATCCTGTGTGGCCAAAAGGATTCTTTCCAGGCTGTATTTTGTATCTTTGATTACTTATTTCTGTATCTTACACAGCATGTGCCTGTGCAAGTGGGGAAAATACTTATTTAAAAGGATGGAGTAATCTAAAAAAGATGCTTGAAAGCAGCCTTGAAACCCTTTGATTTTTTTTCTCCTGAGTGATATCTACCTCTGAGGGAAGAGGAAGTTAGGTATCTACCAAGATACTCTTTTTCCAAATGTTAGGTGTTAAATAGAACAATGCTGGTTTTTAATGGATCACAGAAGAAGCCTAAACAAAGGAAATTAGGAATTTTTACTTGGGCTCTAACACAGTACTTTTTGCTGGTAACCTTTTCAGTTATCTACAGCTGTGGGGGTTTTAGTATTGAAATGCCAAGCAGAATTGGATTTCCGGTGTTGTTTTAGCTGTTAATGTCCTAAATTTGTGACAGGCAGAGATGTATCAGCCCTTTGGAAGGCTGGTTTTTATGTATTAATGCAAAATGGTGTAGAAGATACCCCAAAACATGCTGTTGTCAATTTGCAACCCCACACTGATATACTGGGGAGCCTTCACTTCTCCCGATGCCATCCTGGGGATGGAGATGGGGGTTGTGGAAGAGTTTGTGTAACTGTCCCCAGCTTAAGTCAGAAGACTGACCTGAATTTTTTTTAAGGTTTGCACTGGTAAGTAAATAGCTCTTAATAAGCCCAAGGGTAAACTGCATCATTCTTCCATTTGTCACGATGTGTCAGTCTGTGTGAAAAGAGCAAACTCCCTCTCTTGCTTTCCTGAAACCACTGGAAAATAACTCTTCTTGGAAAGGAAGACAGGAGGGGCCGAAGTGAAAATGTTAGGTTTGATTTATGCAAACTGGGGCAAGTACTTTTCAGCCTTTTTCAAGTACCCTTGGATTGTGTAAGCCATTGTCAGTAAGAGGAATGATAAGAACTTGTCAGGCTACTAGATGGCAGTGTCTCTCTGGTTCATCAACCTCACCTGCTGTTAAAGCAGGAGCTGTAATTGGACCAGCTCTAATAAGGTGATCTTAAATAATCCTCCCTCTTCTGCTTGTTGTAGCCAGTATAATGTGGCTGCTCTAAAGGCATTTTTTCTTAAGTCTCCTGCTAATTATGTTGTTTATGTTCTAATTGCAGGTTTGGGGAGTGAAATACAATGGAAGCGGGTCCAAAATTGTATCTGTTGGGGATGACCAAGAAATTCATATTTATGACTGTCCAGTTTAAATGTCTTGACTGGAACCCTTTGGTTAACTCTTGCAGCAGTTTTTATGAATACTACTGTCCTTCTATGTAATTTTTTTAATATGATAAAAACACTTTAGTAATGCTGATCTGCAAAATCAGATATGTTTATATGTAATTTTGATTTTGTTTAGCATGAAATAAAGCTTTACTTTTTTTAAAATAAAAGCTAATGATGCAAGCAACGCGTCTAATCCTTGGAAGAATATATTTTTGGAAATATATAGTCATGGGTGAAGTAACTGCTCAGTTAATCTCCCCTGCCTTTATACATAAATAGACTGGAGCTGGGAAGTGTTGACCAAGTCCAACAAGCCTTATTTGAGGAGAAGGAAGAGTGAGGGAGGCTGGGTGTTGTACAGATGGGAAAGGGGAGCCTGCACTCATCGTGATGGTGGCGCAGTGAGTGTGACAGGGTCACTTGAGTTGAACACCTGTTCCAGCAATTGTAGGGTGACACGTAGCTCATTCATCATGATTTAATTTCACTAAAGGGTGCTAGTTGGGTCCAACCCTGACTTAACAGAAACTCTGCTAGAAAACACGTAAAAGGAAAAAAGCTTTAATTTTGCTCTGGTATCTTGTCATAGTATAAAACAGCAGCAGTATCCCCCAACACATTTGATTTTGGTTTATTCATCTTAGTTAAGGCTCAAGGATGCACCACCTAGGAGCAAGTAAAAACCCTTTCTAGGGAAGGCTGAAATACAGAGCTTGAACTTCTGAAAGATCAGCTTTATTTGGAAGTACGTGCCTATTTCTAGGCTAGAAGTATACACATTAGGAGGATACCTTCTAACCCTTAGTTACATAGAGCTAAGCAGCTACTCTAACACAACAAAAGATCAGAGGAAAGAATGTTATTATTCAAGAAGTGGGGCATGCACATAATGCTTTTGAAATACAAAGTAAGACCGATACTAATGTTGCAGCTAACACAAAGGTGAACGTGGAGAACAGTCTAGACTAGGAGGCTTGGCTTCTGAGCTTACAGAAAATGATTTAAAAAAATAAAGGGAGTTCTAGAGTGGCTTAAAAAGTACAAGAGAAGCATGATAAAGTGTGAAGTGTTCTATTTATTAGAAGTTATTTCTGCTATGTTTTATTCTATGAAATTAATTTTCCAGTATGAAAGTATTTACATAAGACACTCCACTTAGCCTCTATCAATATTGCCAAAGTCTTATATAAATAGCATAGGTGAAATAAATTGAGAACCTTCACAGCAAAGGAAAATGTATACCAACTCAGTTGGTTCTCAGCTGTGTGACATCTGCTTTATATATAAAGACTACAAGAACACAATATAAATTAGTTACAAAAAGGTGATACTGACAGCGCAGCAACTCAATTTGCTGAACACAAAAACCACAAGCAGTGGCTATTACAGCCATGCAGTTTTCATTGTGAAAATTTACATTTTAGATGGCATCCATTCCACCTCGCTTTAAGATGTCTGACATTGTACTCCTGTTCTTGGACCCTCCTCATCTTCTTCATATGCTTCTCCCCCACTGTTACGGTAGGTTTGCTCATTTGGATCAAAATCTTCAAGGTCTACCTGTTCCATCTCATCTGTGACCATAACATCTTCTCTTGGAGGAAGCAGAGCCTCCAGCAGACCGAGTTTCTCCCTCGGGAGCCAGTTGTGCTCTGGGAACTGGACCTAAAATTTTATGTTTTTATTTTAATGAATAGTTATTCATGGTGGCATCAGGAGTATCTTTGCTACAGAACAGCAGTCAACTTACCAAAAATTGTATAATTAAGTTGCCTTTGTCCATTGGAGATTTGTAGATAGGCATCCCTTCGTTGTAGATACACTTTAGGTCCCCATGTTTTAGCACCTCACCTACACAGAGGGAAGAGCTGTAAGTAAGCTTATGGGTCAGGCATTTCAGAACCACAAAAACCAGGGTTATACAGTGTTCCTGCAGCACCTGAGAGAGACCAGTAAGCAGCTCATAGAAAAGGCTGCAGACTGAAAAGTATCAAAACCAAGCTCTACAGAAGTAAGGCCATTTAGGCTATTCTCTTTAAGAGAATCAGCTTCTGTCAGCACCACCTTCAGGCTGAATTAACAGATAATTTAGTAGAGCTGGAGCTTCTGACCTCTTGAATATTCTCCTGGTTATCTACTGAGTGAGGCTGAAGTTTATCAAGAAACATTTGACAGCTTCAGCTGTAATTCTGCACATAGTTTTTAGGAGTGACAAGAATGACAAAGAACCAACTAAATGAAATGACTGCAAGTGTGCTTTAAATCTGTTGCATCAACTGGTTTAAAAAAAAAAAAAAAAAACCAAAAAAAAAACCAAAAGCAAACCAACCCCCACAAAGATCCCCAGTCCAGGCACAATGAAACAGACAAGCAGTTTGTGTAGCATCAGAAGTCAGGACCTACCTGGCCTAGATGATATGACAAGAACTCTGTTATCCAGAGTTCCAATGGTCTTTCTGAAACCACATAAAGCCTCGGATAGTTGAATTCTCATTTTTGTGATTAAGTCATGCCCTCGCCTCTGAAAGACACTGTGATCCTTTTGATCGAGCACAATTATAACATCACCAGGCTCCAGATCGGGTTCCTGGTCACCTTCTCCATGAAATACTATCTTCTGACCATCTTTCATACCTGGAGAAAAGAAACTCATTTATTCTGTGAAGAGCTGTAGACTGTGATGAGGGACACAGAACAAATATCCAGTTCTTACCTTTATCAACGTGAACTTCTATGATCTTTTTCTCTCTTACAACCTTACAGCCATTGCAGTTGTCACACCTGTCCTTCGGATTTATCCTTTCACCTTGGCCTTTGCATTCTGGACACACAGTTTGGATTTGTTGTACCATGCCAGGTCCAATCTGCTGAACAATAACTTGCATTCCTCTTCCTTTACACACAGGGCACTTTTCTATCGCCCCTCTCTTTCCGCCGTAACCTTTGACCAAAAAAAAAGTTAAATCTGATCTCAGTCTCAGAAAAAAAAAAAAATAATAAAAGTTACTCTACAGCAGTCAGGCTGGAACTCATTGACTTCAAGAGCACCTTTAGGGCAACTTCAAGTAGTTCAGTAATGTATTTCCAATGTAACTGGAATTTACATGCCCCACAAGTTAGACGTTTCTGGAAGCAAAAGACAGTCAAGTTTTCTATGCACAGCTTATTAGCCTCTGCCCCACCTCCCAATACATCTTGGTTTTCAAGGAACTATCAGCATACCGACTTCAAGACCTAGACATTCCATTAATACTTTAGAAAGAATCTGCTTGCTAAATATTTAATAGACTACTAAGATACAAGACCTCATTAAGATTTACCTCAAAGACCATCATTATGGGTACTTAATGGCTGCAAAATGAGTTGCGTAATACAAGCTAGACTCCTATCCTCAGCAATTAAAAAAAAAAGTTTAACAAAACAGCCATTTATTAAAGTTCCAGATTAAGGTACTTTTAATTTAGGTACCCTTAACTATAATTCACAGTGACTTTCTTTTATTTATAATTCACAGTAACTTCATACCACTATGTTAAAAGAGAGGCTTATTCTTGGATAAGCATCAATAAAATTAAAAATCCCTCACGCTTTATTCCCAACCTCCCTCCTAATGGTCTTTAAAAAGAAAAAAGGAAAAAGCTTGGAGTAAGAGGGGTTTGAAACCACTACTTTTTTTACCTTCACACTTTCCACAAATAACATTTTTTTGCAGTGCCAGTTTCCTTGTAACACCATTATACAAGTCTTCAAGAGATACACCTAACTGGTGCACAACATTTTTCCCTTAAGAAAGAAAAAAAGAAAAAAGATTAATTCTGGTTCAGCTGTTGAAGGACAAATGTTTATTTAAAGGCTTCTACACTTGTTCATACATGCAGTCTCACTGAAGAAACGTAAAGTTCATTCCAAACTTTGAACACAGCTCACCCCCCTTAAAAGCATGTGCACTTCCATCAGCTTCCACTGAGCTGCACCCACTTATGTCAGAACATAAAGTTTAGCTGTAATTAAGCAAAGCATCATTAAAGCCACCCTATCCCTATTTTTTTGGTTTAACTGAAACAGCAAGATGTAAGGACACTACCAGCTTCAGATCTAGTCAATTTAGAAGTTGCTTTATGCCTACCTATAATTTCCATGCCTCTTCATAACATAATTTCAAAGATTTTACAGCAAGTTACTACTTGCTCCTTTAAGAGACATTGGGCATAGAAAGACAAAAGTCATACTGTGCTTTTGGCAGCACTCTGTACTCAGTTTCACACAATTTCTCCCAAATATTTTCATGAGATTTAACATTACTTAAGTTGATGGTGTCCTTTGAAGCAAGTTGCCCAAAGCATATGAGCAAGTGAGGCACAAATCTGAAAAAAAAGTTAACTTAAACAAGGTCTAATTCAACTGCTCTAACCTACCAATGTTTTCCCCTCCCCTACAGATTACCCACACCCATTTTAACAAAAAATAAACACAACTCATCAGAAAGATTACTATGGCTACATCATGTTATCTACTGTATTAGAAACTTAATGCTAGAGTAACTAAAAAAATAATCATAGTTTACTTATCTATGGTTGAAATGAGTAATATCCACACTATGTGCACTTAGCAGAACAGCAGTACCATAGCACAGGTGTTTTATGCTTAAGTGCATGGTTAGAGTTTCTAGAACTTGTTTAGAACTGTGTACCTCTTCTCTCTCTATTCATTCGGCCTCCACCACCAAAGAACATGTCAAAGATGTCCATGGGTGAAGAGAAGCTGCCGCCACTCAGGCCTCCTTCTTTAATAGCCTGCTCCCCACCCTGGTCATAGAGGTCCCTTTTCTTTGGGTCCGACAGAACTTCATATGCCTGGGATATGAGTTTAAACTAAAAAGAAAAAAGAAGCTCTGAACAACTATGACCAAGAGGAAAAGTAACCCTCTCATATGCAACTCCATCTTCAGATTGAGCCACTATAGCTCTCTCATGTAGCATTTGTCTTTTTTTCCCCGAAAGGAAACTCCCTAAACAAATGTGAAATAGACTATAATAGTAGACTTCTGTCCAGGAAACCCACCCCTTTTCTCCCTCTCCCCCCTCCTCCCATGTTACAAGTGGGCTTAATTCAGAGTCCCATCCAAGTTACAAGCATATGCAAACTACATGTCGATGACTGTGGTAGTTGCAACCATTATA